CACACCTCTTCCCCACCCCAACGTTTACACTCCCCTCTTCAATCATCCCAGTCATTACCCATTTCTTCCTCCCCTACATTGTTAACCATCCTCTCTCTCAATGCTAGAAGTCTAATTCACAGTCCAACGTTTCACTCCCCCATAAGTTTCAATCATTACACCCTCCACCTCCCTGGCTTCCCTGACCTCTGCTCAAAAAGATTGCTCACCGTCATCATCTTTATCACAAAATCTCCAAACACAACTCATCTCACCTATTGCCAGAATACCGTCGACTAAGAAATAAAATTTATGCTGAGGTTAGACGTTCTAAAGCTAAATTTTTCCACTCAATTTCTTCTTCACCCCATCAATTCTGGTATTTCAAAAATTAAAGACGGAATCAGCTCAAACTTTAATTTACACAGCATACTTAGGACATCAATGTGTATCAGAAAATGTAAAAAGATTGATGTGATTTTGGAGCTATTTTGTGTTTTTTAGAACTGTGGCATTTTTAAAAAATGGATAACTCAAAAAGTTGAAGTCAAAATCAACTCTAACTTTCTACGCAGCATAAGGACATCAATATGTATAAAATTTGGAGCCATTAAAAAGCCAATAGTAATATTATACTGATGTACATGTAGTACTGTTTAGTAATAGTAAACTTTTTATTTTGTTTTAAGACTGCATGTACATGTACATGAAATAAACCATTTAAATGTACATGTACATACATGTATACATTTGCATGTTTTGATCATGTGACTATCATGTGACATTACATGTACATGTATTCTTCAATAGGTTGGCTGCTGATGAGCATGCAAGAATGTCTCAGTCGGAGGAGTCTATGCATTGATCCAGAGTATAATGTACTGTGGAGCTTTGATGAGAGCAGCTTTGAAATAATTATGTTGTTTTAATCCTGTAGCAGCTAAAGTTAAAGGTTAGAAATGATCCCCTTTCTCCTTTCTTTCCCCCTTTTTCCTCCATGCACTGTAGTATTTGTTATTTTATGTCATGTGAGCACGCATGCCAACACAGTTGTTTTTGTGGTTACAAGTACATGTACATGTATGTCTGTTATTTATACATATTTCAAATCAATATACTGCATTGCAAGAAACTTTTGTTGCCCCAATTTAAATTTCTTGATTTTTAAGGAAACGATATTTATAACCATGTTATGACCAAAAATTAAGTTGAAATTAGAAAATTGGGAAAATTAGAATATCATCACAAAAAATTAGACCATCAAAACTTGTCATACTTGTAAATGAACTATTTCGTCACCAAAATTAATATTGGCAATAATATGCCTGTACATGTACTTTTGTATAATGCACTTAACGTTGCTCAATCATTAAATACATGTATGTAATTATCGATTGAATGTATTCTTAGTAATACTTATTAATTTGTCTTTAGTGTTTGTCTTTGTTGGAGTTGGTCACATTGGGTGCTATCTGTGCTGGATCACTACTCTTTGAGGACTTGAAACTTTGCTACATTGGTAACGGACATTAAGAGTATTACACGTACTAATAATGGAAATTATCAACAAAATTAGTAAATGGTGGATTTGCATGTGTGGTTGTTATATTGGTAATTTTGGAGTTGTGTGTCGTTGAGCATGCTCAGGATAAAAATAAATTATGTGTCTTATCAATTAAGAGACTATGCATAATAATTTAGGTATTACCAGTATCTGCTCTTGGTTTTATTATGTCAGTTTTTCTACAAAATACCAATTAGGCATATGGTTTTTTCTCATTTTCCTATTCAACTCTCTTAATTGTTCTTAAAATTTTACTTTCTTCCTTCAGATGAGTTGTCAGTTAGTGCTGATCCTAATGACTTGCTGTCATGAGAGCAGCTGCTAATCAAGTTAGTAGTCTCCCACTTCTTTTAACCTTCCTCTCTTTATACTTACATTTCCCACTCCTCTCTTTCTTTCTTTCTCTCTCCATTTACCCTTCCCTTTCTCTCTCTTATTTTCAGCAGGAGGGAGGCAATCAAGGTAATGGACATTGTCCTATACACTGTACCAGACTACCAGTACATGTATGTGATGTATTCATGTACTTGTATGCATACACTTTACTGTATTAATAAGACAGTACTAATAATAAATTAAGTGGCTATGAAAGACAAGATTGTACTTTGTACATGTACTTGCGTTATACATGAACATGTAGATCCTATCCCAGAGAGGAAGGAAAGAGTGCACTAGTAAGGTTATATAGTGACTAGCGGCACAGTCTTTTATTGTAGCTCCTCCTCTTTTGTCTAGGAAACTATCACTGGGTTCAAGTGGATGGGTAACTTAAGCCACACCTTCCTTGAGAAAGGATCAGAGGAGCTAGGTTATTCATGTTTGGTACTACAGTACTGGATAAAGATGAAGTGAGTGGAGCTACTGTGACTGGAGAAATGGCCACCTACCTTTACTCTAATGGACAGACATTCTCTTCACTGTTGAAAGACATTTAAAATGTGGTCGAGTTGTCTCAAGCAATTCTTATTTTATGTCACTCAAAAGAAACAATAAAAGAATGAACTCTTTGATGGACTGAGAAAAGATGGACAAGTAATTATAATGAGCTATATAGTGTATTTTGAATAAAATATCCCCCTCTTTCTCTCCCTCCCTTGATCCCTCTCTCTCTCCTACAGTATGAGTATCCCAGTACTTGTGGTCCAGCTGGTGTTACTAGTGTATGTGATATTACTGTTGGGTATGACAGTACTAGACCTCCTCACTATAAACCAGTGAGTGTAACCTGTCAAACATGTTTACTATTATAATACCATGCAGTCAGTATTACTAGTATTACAAACAGGTACCAGTTGATCCTGGTAGTAAAGATGACCATGTTCTTTTTGGATAATAAGTATCAGTTTACTTTCAGGGACTGAACCAATGATCAAGCTGCTGAAGCCGGTATTATGTAATATGTATACATGTTCAGAGCTCCAGGAGTACAGTATGTTTACTACCATTTTGCACTATATTTTTTAATATTCATTATTATTATTGTTATTATTATTATTATTATTGTTATTAATATTGATGAGTCTTCACTTTAAGATACTCTATCTAGTACTGTTGATGATATTATTTATGAATTTATTAAACCATATTATTATAACTTATTATAATTATCAATCTATTTAAGATGTTATGTGTGTGATAAGTGTCTATTGTAACGTGTTTTTGTATTAATTTTAAAGATATTAGAGGAAATGAAAGAATTTATTTTTGTGGGTAAATAGTTTGTTGTGTGGGAGTGAACTGTCAAGATGGCCACTGGTAGATCAGGTTAGCTCTTGTGTCAGTATCAAGTGTTAATGTTTGATTCACTTTATTTCACTTTACATTAGGAAGAGATACTGAATATGAAGGATGGTTATTATATGAGGAGAAAGGTTTAAATGAATATGTAGCAACATTTACTGTAACTAAAGATACAGACACACTTCATAATGTAAGTATAATAGTTATATTGTGTACATGATGTGTATTAATGTGTTTATTTACAGTATAGGGGAAAGAAGCGTCCTGAAGCTAAGATAGATCAACATATGTCTTTTACATTTGTCGAGCAAGATTCCACACTTACATCAAGAGGTGATTATATTGAATTTAAATTTGATTCTCCACAATATGAACCAACTGCTGGATGGACTATTAAACCCCACGCAGTACCTTGTAGAGTAAGTACTTGTATCGTGTATAGATATAATTAATGTTTCTGTATCACTGAATAGATATATAGAAGTGATGTTGATAAGGTTGATGAACCTCCCTATCCTGATCCTCCCTCCTGCAGTATATCAGTACATGCTTCGCTTGATGCTGTTTATAGACTACTTTATACTATATCAGTGGAAGGTGTGGTTGGAGATGATACATTGTACATTACCAGGACATTGAGAAGTAAGATAGATTAAAGTGGGTGTGGTCTAGTATTAATAACCACACCCATTACACTACTCACAGTCTGGTACTAATATAACAAATTTGAAACATTGAAGGGGTGAGCACAAGCAAGCAGGGCAATAGACATGCAATGTTTAGATAGACATGCAATGGTTAGATGATGCATATACTTGTGACTGACTTGCATGCATGGAACATTGCTCACATTTACAAACACACATTCTTGTTCAACCACAATTTTGATAACAGCACATTCCAGCATCAGTTTATATAAGTGCCCACCCAAGTAAAAACCACGAATGTAATGCTAGTAAAAACCACGGATATAGCTTGCTCTTCTAACTTTATTATTAGTAAAGAATTTCAGCTGCAATTTAAGCATAATTTAACTGTATAGCTAAGTACAGTACTGCTGTAGGCATTCTTTTCTCTTGATGAGACATTCAAAATAATTTAAGCTTCGTTTAACAATGATTAAAAAGACCTTCAAAATTTATATCTGCTTTCTTAAACTTTTCTCTGCTGATGAAGTGTCTGGACAACAGATCAGTCTTATTTTGCTGCAAGTAAGCTTAAGATTTGCTCCCGTTTCATAACCTTGATAGTCGCCATTTTGTTTCATTGCAACTGCACCCACATCATGACATCAATGAAAATCATAGGCGGCAGCAGGGTCGGGCATGGACGGGCAATGCCCGACCAAAAATTTTGACCGGAAATGACAATTTAATTAATGACATCATTTTTAGTCATGAATAATTACCATGGCTAGCAAGAGACAGTCTTTCTGCTTTCCTTTGTCAACAAGCCTTCCAGAGGACCAGGACTAGTACTTTACAGGTTGGATAGAGCTTTACAGATAAGATAGGGGGCCTTTTAGGCACATTTTATGCTATATCATATTGTATATCCGTGCATTGAGTACACGCCCAAAATAGGTGCAAAAAAGGTGGGTGTGGTCAAAATCGCAGCACGCTTCGCACGCCATTTTTGCCCAACCGTTCTTCAAATCCTGCCGCCACCTATGATGAAAATATTTTATTAGAATGCTGGTAGTACACACATATAGGTGTGACCAGAACAGGCATGACTGGAGATGCACGTACATACAGAGTGAGTGAGTGGTGGAGCTACCTGCTTGAGTGGGGCTCACTCATGCTTGCCCCAATAATATTTATACCTTCAGTCGTATAAGTATTGCACTGTATTAATAGATACTAATTTAATTGGCCATTGGCACATACTGGGGACCATCTTTATCATTTTTATAATTAATTTATGTTCTGTTACTCCATAGGTCCTTTCTTAGACATTAGAGATTTACAGTATGTACTTGACACATTGAATGAAGCTGGCTTCTCACAGAGGAAATGGAAACCTCTTTGTGATGCCTTAGGATTATATGCTACTACACTGGGGGGTATTGAGGCTGAATATGCTGGAAATGTAAAAAGATGCTTTAGACAGTGTCTAGTAAAATGGTTAGAGAGAGCTGATGGTGTTGATATTAGAGGAGGTTCAACAATGGTCTCTCTATATAATGCTCTTGAGTACATTGATGAGAAAGCAGCAGCTGATCATATCAGTAAGCTATTATTGTTATTATTATTATTTTAATAAATTTTATCTATTCTTATGTAGTTTTCAATGACATAAAATTTGATAATATAATTTATGTATTGTCTTATATGTAGTTTCTTTTTTTGTATTTATTTTTAGAAAAGAATATTATTAATAAAGATTTTCCAGGTATTATATGATTATCACTCAAGAAATATATTGCATGTATTTTTACTGAGATTTTGTGAATTGTGGAACATTTTAGCTGTCGCATGTCATTAAGCATAATTATTATCAATAATGAAGTAAAAATTTTATTGACAGTTTCTTCACCAATTTGTAAAATTGATAATAATTATTAATGTTATTAATTTTTTCAATTTTAAATTATTTTGTCTATAGAGTTATGTCACTATCGTGAAGCGCTTAAGACTATTGTGACGTGTCATGTCACTAAAGCAGTAGTTCAAGGTGAAGCTCGTGTTGGTAAAACCTGTTTCAAGTCACTTCTACTGGATGAAAAGTACCTCAAAGCAAGTACCAGTATTGCTGAGCCGAGAGTTGGTATCTACTGCTACAGACGAGATACTGGGAAACGATACATACTATTGGATGTCACAGAGTTAGAAGATATAGTTAAAAATGCTTTGAAAAAAGATGCATTAGAAAAATTGATCGATTCTCCAGTAGAAAATCAGGGCAGTAAAAGTATTGATGGAAAGAAACAGACCAGAGGGAATGAAACAGCTGACGAACCTGATGATGGGTTTGTTGACGAATATGAAGCCCCTGATGGACCTGGCGATGGAGACGGAGCACCTAGTGATGATGAAAACGAAAGTTTGCTGAGTAAAGAAGTAAAGAAAGTACTTGATGGAGTACGACAGTGTTCAGGGAAGGAGAATCGTCTTTGAAGGTGCTCAATGGTTATACCTCATTGATACAGGAGGTCAAATCGCTTTTCAAAAGTTGCTTCCAATTTTTATGCCGTTTGCTCAAGTTCTCATTCTGGTTGTTAATATTTCAAAAGAGCTGTCTAGCGGCTCCACTGCAGTGATGCACATTGAAGGTGAGGATCACAGTGATGGCAGCCCATCCAGATTGACAGTTGAAGAAGTTTTGAAGCAAATTATTTCTTCAATAGCTTCTGGCATGCAGCATTTCAGGGATAGCTGTAAAGATCATGAAGTTCTACGAGATTTGGTTCCAAAGAAATTGCAGATTCTCACAATTGGTACACATGGAGATGAATGCAGTGATCTAGCAGAGTCTGCCCACACATTGGAAGAAAAATTGGCAGAAATAATAAAAGGAAATGATGATTGTGAGTCAATTGAAGCTGATTGTGTAGTTCGTGTGCGGGAAATTGATGGTCGTATTGCTAGTGCAGCTGTTGAAGAAAGAGGAAGCAAGAAAAATTTTAAGAACACGAAAAGTTCTTTGGATGACGTAGATGAGATCTTACAGAAAAATCAAAAAGGAATCAAAATTCCATTTTATTACTACTTCTTTGATATCATACTTCGCGTTGCAGCAAAAGAGGGATGTGGTGTCTTGCAATTATCCACCTGCATAAGTCTTGGGGAAGATTTAAAACTTGTAAAAGATGAAGTGATGGAATCTCTCAAATTCTTGCATCATATCAACAGTATCTTTTATTATCATGATTCTAAAGCCTGCAGTGACCTGGTGTTTGTTAACATAGGCAGTCTCATTGGCATTCTCAAGGAGTTGGTTGGACATGTTCATATTATTCACTCCAAAGCAAGAAAATATGCTGGAGATGAGGACATTATAAAGGGGATCCTTTCAGAGTCCAAGTTTAAAGAAATTTGTAAAGAACAACTTGATCCCATCACAGAAAAACTCAAAGTTGCTAATATTTCAACAAAATTGCTGAAGCTTTTTCTGGAGCTCTCAATAGCTACACCAATAGATGATAAATATTTTATACCAGCTCTCCTTCCTGTAAGAGATGTTACAGATATTAATCCTTATAATGATTGTGAGCCATTGCTGTTTTACTTCAAGAAGGCAACTCCAATGGGCCTATTCTGCTCTGTTGTTACTCGTCTCCTTTCTATGCCTTGCTACGAAATAGCTTCGACAAAAATTAACAGCAATTTCTCAAATTTTATCAAAATGAATCGAGAGTCATGGTATCGTGTTGTTCTAGTTGAGCAGGTCAATTGCATTGAAGTCCATTGTGAAGAACAAAGCATTGAATGCAGTGTGAAGAAAGATGTAAGAGAAGCGATTGCTTTTGCAGCTGAAAAGCACAATCTCAGTGACAGTCATAAGAATCCTGAGATCCGGTTTTTTTGTTCATGTGAGCATGGTCCTGCCGGAGGAGGTGTGGCTAAGGGTGAGAAGCATACAGTAGCAGTTAATGAGAAGCTGTGTATCTTTAGATGCACTAAAACAGAAGAAATATTCAAATGTGATGAGAAGATAAAGTGGAAGTCCTGGCTTCATAGTAAGTTGTTGTTGTTGTTGCTGTTATTATTATTTCGTAGCTAATGTACCAAACACTTCCACTTCTATTGATGAGTCAAAAAGTAAAAATGTATTAATATTCATATGATAATTTAATGTATTAATTGTAAAGGCACTCCACAAAGAAGTGTGTCTGAGACAGGAAGTTTTGGCTCTCCACACGAAGCCAAAGGTATGTCACTTGATTGTTGAATTGAACGCATTCACAATCTTACCTGGCATTGATTCAATGCGTGCAATAAAGTCATAATTAGTAAATTAAATAAATGTTAGTAAATACTTACAATTATGTTTCTAGTTTAATTTTTTTTGATATTCACATTAACAGTGAACGACCTTCTCAGATATGATCACTTTTTACTGCTATAATAGTGTTAATTTTTACTCCATTTTTTTATAGACCCAAAGGAGATACTACAGAAATACTCAGCCAAGCTAACTAAGGCAATATCAGCAAATGCTGGTGATGTCACTAAAGCATTGTTTGCCAAGGATCTAATAACACAAGGGACTAGAGACCATGTAGTGACAGCAGTTGGTGTATCTATTGCTGATAAAGCTGATAGAGTAATAAATGATGTCATGAGTCAATTAGAAGCTTTTCCTGATGAAAGACAGTATTTAATTGATGTGTGTCATATTTTAATTAAGCAAGGTGCAGCAATGAAGCAGATAGGAAATGCTATCCTTGAAGAACTAGGTGCCAGTATGTACATGTACATATAAAGTTTATCAATGTTAACCATTTTTGTATTCACAATAGGATACTGACCATCCTCCTCCTCCTGCTAGTAATTTATTTTTGGACACTCAGTTGCTTACTTTTTAATTATCATAATGATGCTTTTAAAGTTATTTTCCAAATTCCTTTGTACATTGCACGTATCCGTCACATTAATTAAGAAGTAGATCTATGTGGGTGTGTGCTTGTAGTTGGATGGAAGACAAGCCAGCAGTAAACGAGCTACTAACTCTGACTCACGCACGGTAGATGTTGGTGCAGAGTGGCTGTGACTAGGGGTACTACTGGAACTGGATATGAAAGATCTTATGGCCAAAGGACTACACTAGCACATGTACACTCTGGTTGAAGGCCATGCGGCAGGCCTTGAAGAGGACAAGTGATCAATGCATTAGGAGTCATTAGAGCTAATACTTTAGTTGATAAAATAATATAAGAAATGGATTAGTAGTACTGGTAGAGCTACTGCTACTAGTAAACACACTAATACAAGAAGACTTGCTCCTTCAATCAGTAAACAATGTAAGTAAGGGGTCTGCATGGCTGCGCCACTGAGGCTAGTATCACATTGACTGAATTTTATTGTTAGATTTATACTGTATAGTTGGTATATGTAGGAGGAAATGGGAAACTATTTACAAATGTAAATGTAATGATGTTAACTATATTTTTATTGTAGCTACAGCTCAATTATAGTCACTTGATATCACTGATCTTCAAAAAGTGTTGAATTTGCTGCAGATGCTCATTTCAACGTAGACTGGGAGGGACTGGGTCTGTATAAAACTAGGACTCTATCAGCACCCAACACTCTCCAACTTACAACATACTCATGATAGGGGGCTGCCCATAGGGAGTGTCTTGCTGTCTGGTTACAAAGAGCTGATGGTGTGGATCATAGTAAAAATGGAGGAGCTAACTATGTATCACTAGCTAATGCTGTAGAGAGATTGGGACAAAGAGCTGCAGCTGATGACATACGAAGTGAGTTACAATGATTGTATTAGTAGATTAACTGAGGGAAAGGTACAACAATAATTATCATTAATCTTAATAAGGATTAAATTTAATATTAATTTATAAAAATGTTATGATTATTATTTTAGTTTATTTTTATTAAGAGACTGGAGGGAGAACTCCAATGACTCCATTACCAGTTCAAGAAGACAGTTACATTGCAGAAAAAGAAGAAGAGAAACAATCAAAGAAAGAAGATGAAGAAAAGTGGATGAGGTAAATATCAATATAACAATTGTTAGTATTGATGTACTTATGCTATGTAGAAAGCTTGAGCTGATTATGACTTGTTCTTTTCAAGTTATGACCATTTTTAAGAATGTGCCAAAATCTAAAAAATTCCCTGTACCCATTGTTTTTTCAAAAAAATGGCTCCAAAGTCACTCCCAATTTTTATTACATTTTTTGATACACATTGATGTCCTTATACTAAATGTATGTAGAAAGTTTGAGCTGATTCCAACTTAATTTTTTGAGTTATGAACATTTTTATGTCAAAATACATGTATCTTAGGTACTATCTTATTCTGAAAGATTGGCATTGATCCAGAGTTTAATGTACTGTGGAGACTTGATGAGAGCAGTTTTGAAATAATTATGTTGTTATAATTCTGTTGCAGCTAGGTTAGAAATGATCCTCTTCCTCCCTTTCCCCTTTTTTTCGCCTTTCCTCCTTCCCCCTTTTCTCTCCATGCACTATAGTATTTGTTATTGGGGCGAGCCTGAACTCGCCCCACTAAGATGAGAAAGCGTCTGTATGTATGTATGTATGCACGGGCATGATGATAGGGTCGTCTAACTATTATTAAAGTTAAATAGCCTAATCTTCATTGGAAACTGGTGTGGTCACAATGAATAAAATGGTGGCTATCAGCAACTCTGAGCTTATTTCCAGCAAACGGGCAGCAAGACAAGACTAAATTGGTGTTCAAAGACATCTGTAGCAGCAAGGAAGGTTTCCACAGCAAATATACAATCTCTTCTTTAATATAAAGGACTCTGATAAGATGAATGATGCAATGATAAAGATGCATGCAAATGATTTCTGGTGTATCCCTAGCAGCAGTAAGGAAGGTTAACAAAGCAGAAGTACAATTTGACTTCTTCAAAATACAAATTGTTCAGTCACTACTTCTAACAGATCTAAAATGCTTGCTATAACCAATTGCTGGTGACATTTTATAATTAATCAGATGACTAAGTAATAAAATTAATGCTTGCACGACATTTTCACTTTTTTGTATTTGCATGGACATATATACAATTGCTTTGCTTGCTTATAAATAATTCACTCCTAGCTTGCTTATAGGCTCACCCCTTTAATGTTCTACATTCTTCTAGATTTATTTAATGTGAGCATACAGCATACCAACACACTGTTATTGTAGTTACATGTATATGTGCATAAATGTACATGTACATATACATAAAACAAAGCATACAATTCACATTTTGTACCTTAAGAATGAGTATAGCTTGATCTCTTTCTCTCTTTTCCTTCATTTTTATCTATTCCTCCATTCTTTTCTCCTCTTCCTTCATACTCCATAGTTTATAAATCTTGACATGTATGTGCATGTATACCGTATTTCCTTAAATAAAAGCCCGGGCGTCTATTTCCTAAAATGATATTTGGACCTCCAAAAAATATATAAAAAATAAAAAAAACTTCGGCACAGAGAGGGATTCAACCCGTGGCCTCATGCTTTTGACTTCTGGAACTGCAGGCATTATCCACTAGACTAGTGAGTCACTCCTAGGCTAGTGTTGCATATTTATAGTTAAATTGTATTGCTACCCCGGCGTTTATTCGAATGCGGCTTCTATTTAAGGAAATACGGTACATATGCACACACAGTTTACTTAATTGTTTTATGACATATCATATAGCTCCAAATTTTCCTCACTAAAAAATTTCGTCAAAATCTTAATTTCTTGTCAAAATTAATTTTTGTCAATAAAATTTTTTGTCATTTTTGTTATTAATCTGTGTACTACTCACGTGGAACAAAAAATTTGTAGGTTAAAAATTTTGTCAAGCAAAAGTACTGGACAAATTTGACGAAAATTTTGACCGACGAAAATTTGGAACTATACGGTATTTTATGTGTACAATAATTTTCCCTCTTTCCTCTCCCTCCCTCTCTCCAGAATTAGAGGGTACTATTAAGTCCTTCATTGCATTTATGTCTCCCTCAGCCTCAAGGTTCTGTCATCACAAGGTTCCATGCTTCAATGAATCACTTGTCATCATTGCACATACAAGACTGCCTCTGTTGACGACTGTCACATTGTCTCAAGAGTTAATTGTAAGTTCAGTAGTAGTAACAGCTAAGTTATGCATGTACAAATGTATTCCCTTAGCTATTTATGCATGTACATGTACCGTATAGCCTCTCTTAATGATCACTTTTTATAGCATACACCTCCACTTAACAGACATACAGCACCTAGTGTACCAATTGCATTCCTTACTGTATAAAATGACCTCTAAATAACAGACAAACTTTTTGTCCATAAGTGTCATGTACTGGTACAATGTACATGTATATAGAAACTACAATAATTCTAAATTGGCAAATATTATTATTTTATTTATTTACATGCATTTATTTATTATTTCTTCGTTTGTTTGTTTATTGTAGATGTAGCTCATGGTGGTGGGTTGGGTTACAATGCTGGATTGATAGAAGCAATATTGTTCAGTTCTGATTGAGGCATACTCTTTGGTGGGTTTGTCTATATGGAGGGCTTGGTCAATACAATATTAAAGTCAAAGTAAGTTACATACATGCATATAGATTTAAAATGGTCTTAGTTATCATGGGTGCTTAAACATGATGGGTTCAGCTCTAAAAGGGAACTCCTATATGCACTTATGTTATTGCATGTATTATTATTATTATTATTATTATTATTATTATTATTATTGTTATTGTTATTGTTATTGTTATTGTTATTGTTATTGTTATTGTTATTGTTATTGTTATTGTTATTATTATTATTAATATTATTATAACTACTACAACAACGACAACAATGAAACCAACAAAAATTAAACCTAAGCATAGAATGTAGATTAAACTCTACCATCCTAGAACTTAAGTGTTGCTAGCAATACACTTATATACATGTAGTTGTTAACTTGTTATATATAAGAATGGTCACATGTAACCAATTCTACACAATGCTATCACATTATACAGACATTAGTTGTTACGACGTGTTTTTAGTTCTGTAAACTTTAGACTATAGCCAACTCCTTTCCAATCATACCATATGATTCCAAACCAAGTACCAGCTCCAGTTGGATTAGTATAGTAAGGACCATTGAGATGTGATTGAAACTTTTGAAAGCAACTGTTAAACCACCAGGCACCATTGTATCTAACAGCATAATTCACACCACCATTATCATTATCATTATCTCTTGTAGTGAGTGCCATTCCATTGTGATTATATCCATTAATTATTAGGATCAGTAATCAGTCCATCCCCAGCAGTACCAGAATATCCTCCTACTGTTAGCATATATTTAGTACTACTATCACTAACATTAAAATTGATGTAGAGTAGCTAGCATTTTTCATGTTCCTCTCAAAGTCTCCTAGGTCCACTCTTAGTGTGTTTGATCCTTCTTTAGTAAGACGATGAATCTTGCTCAATCCTAACCAAACCAAAACTCATCAGTAAGATCAGTAAATCCATTCTCATAGTCAGCCCAGTATCTATAGAAATCAACAGATTCATGCTCTTGTCTCCTCTGAAATACAGTCTCCACCACCATCAGTCTTGTATACCTGTGATGCAATATTGTATAATTAAAAAGCGTTATTGTTAGTATTAAGGCTAACTTCAAATGGAGTTCCTCCATCAGGATTAACAGTATAATCACCACTAGTAGTATTACAATTATTGTACCAATCCTTACAGTCTCGAGGAGCTATAATACAAGATAAAAGTTAATGTATAATATGAGTGCTTATGGGAGATAAAGCACAACAGTATGTTCTACTTTATTACAGCTAGTACATGTACTTTGAGTAGAGTATGCAGTAGGACAAGACTTTTGTGGTTCCTTAGGACAGGACTTTGGTAGTACTTTAGGACAGAGAATATACCTATCAATACCAGGTTCACTGATAGTAACAGACTGTCTAAGTTACTAATATTACAGCATACTCTTAGGTACAGTCCTAGTCCACAATGTTGATATGATCCAATATTAGTACAGTCAGTATAGACATACAATAAGATCCTCCACTAGGAACTGTCAGTAATACTAACACAAACAATAGAAAAACAATGAACCATGAACCATTGTAACTAGCTAGTATGGACTGTAGATAATTTTGTTGAGTATATTTATAGTATAGTGCGTGGGTGCATCAAAGGCTCCGCCTGTATATCTCATACAGCACAGTTTGTGGTCCATACTAGGGTTAGGCAAATTATGCTACAGCATATTATGGCACGTTAGTATGCTGGCATACTTGAAGCATAATGTTTTATTAAATTTCTAACAGCCGGATGCATGTATAAGAAACTTGATAGTTGATATTTGAGTAAAGCTTAAAATATGAGCATATAATAATGAGCATAATTGGATTCATTTTAAAGTATAGTAAGACGGAATTTAGGGCTGTGCCTAAAGTCATATAAGGTGAAAATTGAAGCATAGTTTGCCTAGCACTAGTCCATACAGCACGTTTATGGTTTCCTGTTGTATTAACTTTGACCACCTCCAACTAAGGAGAGAAGCACGAGAAAATTCCATGAGCAGATAGTGCCTTTGATGCACCCATGCACCTTGACCATAAACTAGTTCAAGCACAGTTTCTTGTGCTGTATGGGAAATACAGGACACATGCTTTAACTAATACAAATTGTTTAGCGTATAAAAGTGGAAATTTTGACATCTATGAATGAGTGTGGTTAATAATCAACTATTGAATATGGTAGCTATTATAGACTGTAGATATTGAGGAAGTGCTGCATGTATCCTGGACAATATGTATATTGCATGTACCGGTATATTGTTGTGCCTTTCATCTTATGGCTTCCGATTGTACAACTGACTCTACACAATTTGAGTTATAGCTTCAGTAGGAACTGTCAGCACTATAAACAGAACAGTGAATCACAATCCATTGCTAGCTAGTATGGACATAACTAGCTGGACTATGGACCCCTGCCCCTTTGCTAGGGATGGGGCAAGACTAGGACTGTGGATATTATTGGCAGCCACGCATAATTTGTACATTACACATTACAATCATAGTGAGATTAGAGAACACATTATTAATTTTACTGTATCAATTTAATGTACAGATAAATCCTCTACAATATCCTATATAGCTCTATGACCTATGCTCTTTATATTCTGCATTTTTGTTGCATTCAATGCAGTTTGCAAGCTAATTTTAAGAAAAATTGAAAAATTTGAAAAAAATTTGGACAGACACATCCTTATTGTTCTGTTTTGTGTTTTTCACATTGCTTTTTGAAATATTAATAACCCTCTTGTTCTTGTTATAGAGTTGTGTTTAAGTTCAAAGGTGCCCATAAGTCTAACAATGGCACTGATGTGAGTTCTTGACAGATTCCTGAATCCTGAGATACTGTGCAGGATTCCTGGGTTAGAACAAAAATCAGGAGTATGAATACAACTATTCAATAAAGACTTCTCATTAGCTGTATCTGCAGTATCTCTCGTAAGTCTCTCTTTCCTCCTTCCCTTCATTATTATTATTTTCATGTCTTCTTACATCTATTTTAATTATGCAAACTGCATATTATGATTGCAAATTTTTTGTGATCAGTGGGAATGATTTGGCTAATCTGTGGCCATGTGCCATATGAGCATGTGCATAATAGTTTGTTTTATATTGGCAAAATATCAAATTGAAATTACAACCTATACACAGTACTAATTTGTATTCATGTACATGTACTAATGTACTTCAAGCAATGACAAATTAGACAATTTGCCAGTATATAGACCCATCCCAAAGCTAATTATCATGATTACTAATTGTACCGTATATGCCAGAGAAATAATTTTATAATGATATTCATTGGTCATTAATAATATTCATGAAGCAAGTGTCACACCCATTGGACGGCAAGATGGTAGAGTCTGAATGAGTGTGGAGAATTTCATCGCCTAAAGCAAGCCTAATTCCAAGTTCATTGGGCTCCTCACTGTTCCAAAACAAAGAAAACAATGGGCACCAGCTCCTACAAGTGATATATAAAGTTCTAGTGAATTAAGTACGAAGATCCAGTGATGTGGTAGATGCAGCTTTATCAAAATCTTGCTCATACAACGAATCTGGAGCTTATTTACTCCTTACAGCTTCTCTTAATGCTTTTTTCAATTATTCTTCAGTTTGAAAGCTGGAGAGCTTGAGATCAGGATTCAGCACATACATTGCCAGTATCTCTTGCCGTCCAGTGTGGGCGGCTATTGAATATATACGGTGCAATTAGTGGTCACGATAATTAGCCTCGGGATGGGTCTATAGTATACATGTAAAGGCAGCTATGTTGTAATCCTTACATTATAGATGTATAGACAGTGCATATAAAAGAAGGCTAAGTAGCTACCCCGCAGTTACTCTACTTTTGTATAGGTAGTTCGTTGCTCCTTCTCTGCGCATGCTTAATGTGACAGTAGCAGGACAGTAGCGCGACAGTAGAAGACAGTAGTGTGACAGTAGAATGGAGCAAAAAAATCCTAAATGGGCTTCCAGAAGGAGAGAGTGGCATTATAGATGAACTTGGAGAGTACAGACAACCAAAAGAACCATCCACAAGTTCTACTACAGTACATGTGACTGGGTGGGATCACAGCATAACGCAGCGAAGAGTAACGAAGAGTAGTGAAGTAGTAGCGAAGTACCTACGAACTACCTTCAAGGTTCTCTTCTCTACTGTACCCTACTTAGCCTTTTTTATGTGTACTGTACATGTAACTTTTACTCCTCCCTTTTTCTCCTCAAGATGATATTCACGCAGTACAGAATACACTTGAGTGGAGCTAGAGTTCACTAGTTTAGTTTGAATCAGTTCTTGCTGATCATTACAAACTAATAGTCCAGCCAGTGTTCATTAGGAATAATATCAGCTCACATTACTGAGGTCTATCCTGCTAAAGGTCAGTCATTGCATGTACATGTACAGTGCAGCCTCTTTATTAAGGATGCCATTGGGCCCACACTACGGAGCACTAAGTGAGCTAAAAGAGGCTAGCTCTGCATGTGAGTTTGACAAGCAGTATGTGGCATTTGGAGCAAATTTAAAATTTATAAACAATTCATTTTTTTATCAGAATCAGCTCAAATTTTCTTGATGCATGTAGCATGTATTGTGTATTTAAAACAATTATAAAAATGGAGAATTTATTCCTAGATTTTTTGATACAATTTGGCTGAAGTTAGTAAAGTTACTTTACTACAAGTGTAGTTTAGGGAGTGTGACCCGATTTTTGAGCAATTAAACAATTTTTTAGTCCAATTTTGATCAAAATGAGCTCAAAAGTGATGCACAACATAAGGACTTGTATAGATCTATGTATCAGAAAAAATTTAAAAACAGAGAATTCTTTTCTTGTGATTTTGTTGAAATAACCTGTCTTGACTTTAGCCTAATTTTTTAGCAACTTGACAATTACTGGGGTATATGCTGGCAAGAAGCTACATGAGTGCTATGCTAAAATCCTCTGGGGAACCATAATAGAGAGATATCCTCATTTCAGTAGTACTTTTGTATAGGTTTATACCAATAAGGTCATTACAAAATGTCCATTAAAAGGTGTCCTTATCTATGTACATGTATGCTACACTTTTTATTGCACTGTATTATAAGCATATATTATAATTATCCTTCATTACCTTTTCATTTACCTGGTATTATTTTATCATAGGTATTAATTAAAAGGATCCATCAGATTGTCCAATGTTAGGTGAATGTGTTCATAGAACTCTGTGGCTCATTAAAAAGATATTCTCATCACATCAAAGCTAATTGGAGCAGTTTCAACTTCCAAGTGTCATGCAGAGAATGCTTCACTAGCTGCTTTCTTGCCTTCTATCCTTCAGCTCTTCTCAAGTGGTTCTCACTTTGTACTCTACTGCAAAAATAGATCCAGTAAGAAATGGAGAGAGGGGGAGGGTGAGAAAGGGGAATTTGAAGGAGAAATAGGGAAGAAATGAAGGATGTTTTAGCTTTGCAATATTTACATTGTACATGTACATAAACTATTGTTGCTTTTATGTGTGTTAATGAATTTAAAGGGCTCATATTTCCTTGAATTGTCCCTTTTAAAAATTTTAGCTTTTGTATGCCCTGTAACTGTATTCAGACAAGTATACACTAGTTCAGTGGTGGCTAATAATAGTATTCAATGAATAATCCTCACAATTAATCACCATTCTAAGGCTTTCTTTTTTATTCCTCCCTCTCCCTCTTTCTCTCTTTTTGTCTCCCTCAGTATGATGCTATTCCTGGTTTCCTTGATAATAATTAACTACGCTGTCACGCCCATTCATTGAAATAATTCTATAACTGTTGGACATGTCTTTAATCTTGTTGCCGAGAGCCCAACTGCTATGGATTGGAATTATACATGTACATGTAGATGTATTATAATGTTTCATCATCCACAATTGTCTATTTCATTTTAGTCTTTTCTCTCCTAAGAATTACACACTGGGTGACATTGAGATTCTTAGCATAAAGGTATAACATGTCACATGATAGTGACAGACAGTCATGACTTGTAATATTATATAGTCTGTAGGTTAGTTAGCAAAAGAGGGAAAGATCGATTAGACCAATCAGATTCAGTTTACAAAAATCATAGAAACAGCCACCATCTTGAAAAACCGACCTCAATCCTACATATAGGCTACCACCTATATAATGTACTTAAGGATGGAGGACACTGGGCAGTTAGTGGCTGGGAGCATTCCAGCTTAAGTACTCTGGAATGATAGAAACCAATCACATACAAGGATTTTGGTATCCAGTTAGAAGACTGCTGATTATATGTTTTGATATGACGTTTTGAGGCAGAATTTGGCATTGGAAGAAGGTATTGAAAAGGAGAAATAGAGGCATTTTGATTAATAATGACATCAAAAGATACCTCAAAGAAACACTGGCAGATCAGTAAAACAAAGGTATGCCAACAATGCACAACTTGTTGCTATGAGTACATGTACATGTATATGGATGAGAAGTGTATGTACATGTACATGTATGTGGTTTGTGGCTATGGAGTTGTATATGTAATACGTGGACCTGCTGTGTGAGTATAAACTTTCCTACTGTGTGCTCAACCCTTGATATCTTTTGTTCTTCATTTTCTTTTTACTGTCTTCATTCCGCCAAGAATACTACTACATTACTATATGCATTACGTCTAATTGTACATGCCTACTCAATTCCTTCCTCTATTCTTCATACCACTCATACCACTACTTCAAGTATACCATTAGTTGTACTCTCACAAATGTATCATCTTAACTTACTGGGCACACATAAAAAACAATAATGTATCAAACAGTTCATCAGTATATTCTCAAAATTTGATGTACTACTCATAAAAGCTAACTGAAATATCTTCATTATTTGTACTTTAATCTGCACACACCCTCAGCTAAAGGTAGTCAGTACTTAGTGGTAGTGTTTAGTACCTTATTGAACCATGGAAAACTAGGACGAGATGCACAGCAATTGCCTTCAAGACCACCACATCCTTTGCCATCCTACAATGCATCAGATGTATAGAGTACAAAATCATATGTACCATTAGCAGGATTACGAGATTCACAGAAGTAGTCATTACCAATGAAAGACTGAAGAATTGAGTTTTGAGGACTACCTTGAGCACAAGGACAATTACAAATACTATTAGCATTTTCAAGTTATCCAGACATGTTGATGAAGAGACCTATGAGTGATACTAACACCATCACCATAATCAATATCATTGTATGATTTTCAAGGTCACCAATAGTATGCGCAACTGCATAAGGTGAAGCATATTGATATCCCACTACTCTACCACACACTTGAGAGTAACTGATACCATTAGATGGAAACTAAACTGATAAACACCTGCCTACACTTGATGTTGCTCTACCACAAGCTCTAACTCCTCCTGACTGCATGGTACAGTCTAAACCCAGAAGGACAGTTCTTGTAGCATCAGTCATATCCAGATATGCTAGTCTTGTCCATCTTCCTTCTGAACCATAGTGTATGCAGCTCTTCCATATTACAGTAAATATTCATTGTTTCTTCATTAGTTAAAATGCTGTTAAAGAAACCTGACTAATGACACAGAAATATGTCATTCATGTACTTATGCCTGTATAGTGGTTATTGTTTTAGAAGTTTTCGCTGTCCCAACTCATTCCAACATGTATGCAAGAATATCAATTAGACTATACATTTTACTTTAGAGTCAGTATAATAATCAATTTTTTCTGGGTTTTTACATTATTTTGTAAAGGTCTTTATTATAATGTTTGAATTTATAATTGAGATTATGACTTTTTTTATCAGCAGACTGAAGTAAGAATACTGACACTTTCAAAATTACCTATACCAGAAATGCCCTCTATTGCATCATATGTATTACTTTTAAATTATTTTCAAATCAACTACTCAAAAATCAAAAAACAATGATAAACTAACTACAAATAGTCTACTATCATGCTAACTATCTACCAACACACACAATATGTATCAAACTGTTCATTAGTACACTTCATTTGACGTACAGCTCATAAAAGCTAACAGGAGAGTCCTCATCATCACTACTTTGTTCTGCACACACCCTCAGCTCAAGGTAGTCAGTAGTGGCAGTGTTTAGTACCTTATTGAACCATGGAAGACTAGGACGAGATGTACAGCAATTACCTTCAAGAATACTACATCCTTTACCATCCCACAATGGATCAGACGTATACAGTATGTATTGATATGTACCATCATCAGGATTACCAGATTCACAGAAGTAGTCATTACCAATAAAAGACTGAAGGGTTGAGTTTTGAGGGCTACCTTGAGCGCAAGGACAGTTGTATCGATGGTCATTACTAGGATTAAAAATACTGGATTCAAGTAGTCCAGCCATTAGTGTCCAGATATGTTGACGAGGAGACCCACGAGTGATGCTAACACCATCAACATAATAAGAATTAAGATCATTGTGACTTTGGAGGCCACCAATCCTATGATCAGCTGCATCAGTTGAAGCATATTGATATCCTACTACTCTACCACACACTTGAGAGTAACTGATACCGTTAGATGGAAACTGAACTGATACACAACTGCCTTCATTTATATCTGATGTTGCTGGTCTACCACAAGCTCTAACTCCTCCTGACTGGTACAGTTTAAACCCAGAAGGACAGTTCTCTGTAGCATCAGTCATATCCAGATATCCTAGCCTTGTCCATCCTCCTCCTGAACCACACAGCTCCTCCATATTGCAGTAAACATATTGAGTTCCATCATTAGTTGCCAGTAGATATACACCAGAAGGACTGTTTGGTTGTTTGTCCTTTATCTCTTGACACGAAGTAGGGATAGGAGAGAAGGAAGATGAGTCATTTTGTAACATGATAAGGTCTTCCACTAGTAGCAGTATATCATTGATAACTCCAGCATTAGAAGTAGCAGTCTCCTTGATATGAGAGAGAGAAGAAATGATACCGTCCATTTTCTGTTTTATCTCTTGAATATCTTGACCATTGTTCCTGGTAGTATTGAATATTTCATTCAATAGTCCATCATCAGTGTTGTATTGATTGGTATCAGTATTACTGGTATCACTGCAGGTAGAGCAGGCTGCAGTACAGGTACTGTTAGCAGCATCAAATGTAAGAGCAAGATTAGAACTGCTGATAAACTGAGGGAGACAAGCAATAGCTAGTATAAGAAGAGAGAGCATTATTATTCTCTTTGTAATGATTGTTTACTGTTTACTCTTCACTCCTTTTATAATATTCAGAAGAGCCTGACTAATGATGTCAGACATGATGCTGTATGTAATGAGAAACATTCAAAGAACGTACTCTAGTCTAGTAAATTTCAACCAAAAATGTGCAGGTGTTTTAGTAGTAGACTAGCACTATCAATTTGCATACCTTTCTGTTTGAGTGCATGAGCAAATTGAAATACCATCGTTTTTAATTTTAATTATTATCTTAAAATCAACTAAAAATAACACATAACTAAGGCTAACTATAAAAAGCTAACTTTTGACACAATTCTATCAAACTTTTCATTAGTATTGTCATGCATCATTTGATGTACAACTCATAAAGGTTCTTCATTACTTGTACTTTGATCAGCACACACCCTCAGCTCAAGGTATATAGTTAGTGTTGGATAAACACGCATAACCATTGATAACCATTGTGTCATGAACATAAATTAATCATTAATAACCATTACATAACCATAACCACACATAACTATACCATTGATAACTTTACATAATTGATAACCAAACATAACCATACACAATCAGCAATTGCAGATACATGTAGTCACATCACCTTGAGTGATAAGTAAATATGCACTAGATATGCATGCATGATACATGTGAGCCTGTAATATTAGAATAACCACAACATAAGTAATAACCAGTTTGCTGTTTGTTTTAATCAAACAGAACCTCTCTATTATTGGCCACATATGTGGATCAGATGTATAGTGTATGTAATCATATGTATCATCAACAGGATTACCAGATTCACAGAAGTAGTCATTACCAATGAAAGACTGAAGACTTGAGTTTTGAGGACTACCTTGAGCAAAGGACAATTATAAATATATGCATAGTACTATTAGCATCTTCAAGTAGTCTAACCATTAGTGTCCAGACATGTTGACGAGGAGACCCACGAGTGATACTAACTCCAAGAGCATAATAAGAATTAGTATCATTGTAATTTTGAAGGCCACCAATAGTAGGTTCAACATCATTTGAAACATATTGATATCCCACTACTCTACCACACACTTGAGAATAACTGATATGAAAACTGAGCTGATACACAACTGCCTACACTTAATGTTGCTCTACCACAAGCTCTAACTCCTCCTGACTGCGTAATACAGTCTAAACCCAGAAGGTCAGTCCACTGTAGCATCAGTCATATTTAGATATGCTTGTCTTGTGCATTCTACTGAACCACAGTGCAGCTCCTCCATATCACAGTAAATATTCATTGTTCCTTTGTAGTAACTTCGGGACTTAGTGACAATAGCACGCGTTTGCTCTTGATAACAAAGATACTTTACAAAGAAGTACTAAGAACTAATCAACTAACCAACTAGGTATCGTGTATGCAGTACAGAACTTAAAAACATTAAAAAGGTTCTATATTTAGGTACATTACATAATCACTAATAATAACATAATCTAACCATTAATATCTAATAACATTAACACTAATAATAACTACAATATTAATAATAACTACTTACAAATACATAATAAGATTAGTTTACTACAATTCCTCCCCATTAAGTTTGAACGAGAGGTGCATAACGGTCAACTGGTCTACGAACTCTTGTAGATCTACGGGGTGATGGAGGGTTCTCAGGTGGTTGATCCTCAGTAGTAGCTGTTTGATTATCCAGAGATTCATCACCTGTGAATGCATCTGGTAATTGCCAATTATCATCTGTTGATTCAGTGTTGTTAGAGAATCTCTTCCTGAGATGATCAACATGATGTCTCAAAATAATTCCATTATCTGTAATTACTTCATACGAAACTGGTCCTGTCTTTTTAACAACTTTAACAGGTATCCATTTATTCTTAGGATTGTGAAAATCTTTAGCAAAAAGATGATCTAAATTCTCTAGGTTGTTTATCAGATGTTGTTTTCTGTTGTTTCTTTTCAATCATCTCTCGAGTAGTATCAGGATGTAGCAAATCCAAGCATGTTCTTATTCTCCTCCCCATTAAGAGTTGAGAGGGAGATAACTCAGTAGTAGTAGTCTGAGGAGTTATTCGATAATTGAGCAAAAAACGAGACAATCTTAATTCAATCGGTTCATCCATTTT